TTCCCTGCCTCGGAGACGACCCTATTAGTCGTCTGCCGAGGCCCTGAGTCACTTACATTTTAACTATACAGATATCACTTCCTGTTAACTATGCAAAAGCCCTGAAACTGTTTCTCCAGCTCCTAACTTTTAGGACTGCAGCACTTTTTCGCATTCAAGTCTCACTGCACAAAATCATAATGTCGATTCCTTATAAATTCCTTTCCCCCCAGTATTTCCAGGTTAAGCATAATCTCTTCCCTGCTGGACTCACAGTTAATGCCCTTCCTTGAACCAAGAACTAGACAACAGGACAGGTGTGAACTTATCAAAAAAAACCTCAACGGCAATAATGCATCTATTTATTGTCAACTCAACAAACCTTGTCAATCTTAATTCATAGTGACCCTGTGGATGAGACATCTCCAGGACCCTCTGTTTTCCACTGCTCTGCTCAGGTCCTGCAGATTTTAGTTGGAACTTGATTCTGGCTTGAAACACATGGGACAAATGACGTGCAATATGGCCACATTCAGGGCACAGCATTCAGACGCATTCCCTGAATGCAGCTAGTAGTATGGTGTCATCTGCATATTTTAGATTACTGATCTTCTTGATGTTCCTTCCTCCTATCTTTACTCCTCCTACTTCTGAGTTCAGATATGCTCTTTATATATTTTTTGCATGCAAAGGTGATAGAATACATCCTTGCCTGACCTCTTTGCCAACTGGGAGCCATTCTGTTTTTCCATATTCTGTTCTAACAGTAGCCTCTTGTCCTAAGTACAGATTTATCATCAGGACTATCAAACATAGTGGTATTCCATGTTGTTAAGATCGCTCCATGGCTTTTCATGATCTAAGCCAGTGGTGGCGAACCTATGGATGAAGGGGCATTCAGAGCCCCCTGTGTGGGCACGTGCACCATAGCCCCAGCACAGAGTTCACCAGAGTTCGTTACTAGAAAGCCAGAGGGATGTGGCACTTTGCAATAAACAAGCGGGTTTTGGTTTGCAGTTTGTGCACTTGGTCTCTAAAAGGTTTGCCATCACTGATCTAGTCAGTCAAAGGCTTTGCTGTAGTCTATGAAGCACATGCTGATTTTCTTTTGGAATTCCTTGGTGCGTACCATTAGCCATCATATGTTTGCAATGTGGTCCCTTGTGCCTCTGTCTTTTCTGAATCCTACTTGCACCTCTGGGATTTCTCTCCACGTATTTGTTGTTACTTGCCCTCAATTCGATCTTGACTCATGGCAACCCTATGGATGAAACATCTCCAAGCCCCTC